TCGACGTCATCGAGTATTCCGCTTGTATCATTGAAAACAACTCCATTGCCTACGGTAATGATTACGGATTGTGATCGTTTACAAACCGATATTATTGAACTTGATGACTTCGAACCGGAAAAGGATTGGCGCCGTGCACAACATGAATTAAGACTACTACTCAACGATAAAATGCCACAAGCGGTGAGGTAATGTTTATATCTATACATCTACCTATATATAAAAAGAGAAAGAAATAGAGAAATATATTCAAACTCATTTAGATTTTATATATATATATTGTTGTTGTTTATTATAATTTCTTCTTTTTTCCCGTCTTTATATGTTATAAAAAAATGAAATTACTACAAGACATAAATGAATAGATAATTAAATCAAATATTACATGAAAACGTCGTTTGATAGATGTCATAAATGATGAGTTCAATTGTTTTTCATCGATTTCATCGCTGATCTGTCGGAGACATTGAACTAGCTGACGAATGATCAATTGTTGTGTTTGCACCTCCATCGAAGACACACCTGCCGAAAATGATAGTTGAATTCTATCACAGGAGAAGAAAGCGAAAGAAAGATTATGCTAAGTTCGATAGAGGTGATAAATACACACATTGAACGGAAGTCTATGATCATATTTGTTGAATATTGATATGAACGCAAGAGGAACACATTGCATGATTCGTTTGTCACCGAGGATATCGTTCAAGTGAGCAAACAGATTAAACATCACACACGTGTAAGGCACGTTCCCTATCAAAGCCAAGATCAAAGATAAACTTGATAGGCGAAATAATCAGATCGAAATGTAATAGATTACTGTTAAAATCTTCAGGACAAATCGACATTGATCGAGATGAACGCATAGACTCGATTAAACAATTAGTTACGGTGTATTTCATAATAATATTATATACATATAGAGTATGAGATGAAGAGTCAAGAAAATCTATCATTCATCGAGTAAAAAAAGTGCAGACAACAACAGGTTTGGTATCATTGACCTCGATACTGTGCAGACTAGTGACATTATGTATTGTGATGTTGAAGAAGGTCATTGTCAATCATGTTATAAAACGAACAAAATTTATATTGATTTTGACAATGCCATTCACGAGGGAATGTCTCTAACTGGTAATTCTGTTTTCAGCTCGATCTTCATGCATAATACAAACGCGACGTAGTAATAAAAAAAACTCTGAAATGATTGAATTTCCTCTAGGCCTTCCGATCTGGCTTATCGACGTTCCACTAGAAGATTACTCTAAACAGTACTACACATGTCAACAAAAACGACAATATTATCTCGGTCTAAAATAGAACTTATCTAAAGTACAAATTATATGTCATGAAAAAAGCCGTTGAACAGACTATTAATTATTTATTATAGCTGAAACTAATATTGAATGAAATTCCTCGAGGTTCGTCAATTACTGATCGATCGCAAGTCCATGACAGACGTTGTTTTGCACTTCCCATACTAGGTCACTTGTGTCATCTAACGACAAACGTGAAAGTTTTATAGATGTAAGAACAAATGATAGACGATCTTTTCGTACATCTAAAAAATTTTTCAAACTACTGGCAGTGTTCATTATAAAAGCAATGTGGAAGTGAAGCATCGTACAAGATAGAACGAATTCCTTGATTTTCGAGAATTTTCGTGTTCCTTTCTGCCATATACAACGTCCTGTGAAATCAAATTTGGCGGAGAGCAGTGATCAGAATGTATTTAATGTTGTTGCCATTAACAACGAAGATATCCACTGTCTTGTTGGCTTTGAGGAAACTTTCGATTACTTATTGTGATCATGTATTTTAGAATACTACTCTTTGTTTTCTATCTGTGCTCTTCACGACCGCTCTTCGTGTTTCCTTTGAGAATCTAACGGGTCAGAAGATAGATGAAAGCATATATGAACTTTCGGTGTGACCTATTCGATATTTCTTGAGCTAAATGGATGCTCAAGACACGTGTAACAAATGCAATCAAACTGTCTACATCAATAAATCTTGATGCATCACAGGCGGCGCTGAACAAAATTTCGAACTTGCATCCGAACAATACTCTATGAAGGTCGTATAATTCGTCCTGTAGCGAAGAAAATAAAGGAAATTGTGACATTAGCAGCACTTAGTGGTAATACAACATCAACTGTGAGTTCTAATTCAATTAAATGTATGATTCACGCAGAATACCAATTCTTGAATTTCTCACATTTTTCCCAGTTGAAAAAGCTTGCGCGATGATCTATGTTGAATGACAACAATTAGGGTGAAGTTCTAAGCGTTGCCGAAATGATATTTCAGATTGTAATAATTCTCATTTAAGCGCGTTCGGTATCTTCGACCATACGATTGATTTCTCCTTCTTTCTATGTATATATACTCCTGATCGGTTGTCTAGGTGACAATTTTTCTTTTTTCAATCGTGTGTATGAAAGTGTAAAAAAAGAGAAGAAAAAAAAAGAAACCCTCTGTCATATATCTGCTCGTTTTAAATACATCTGTGTCGTATTGGAGGGGTAGAAAAAAGAGAAATCAGACCGTCAAAGAAACGCTATAACGTTTGTTCATCATTAAAAATCACTTCTGTTTTCTCTCTCTCTCCCTTTTCGTTACGACTCTTTGTCGTAAGACAAGAAATATACGAGCATACATATTAAATCAACGCATCGGCTGCAGTATGTTTGAATATTTATTATTCTCAATATTCTCTAACTTTTCTCCTTACAATTCGAATTCAAATAATGAAACCTTTTTTTTCACCGATAAATCTCTAAACGAGCAATTATTTCATAATGGCTCTCTCTCTCTCTCTTTAGATTTATCTATTCTTCTGCGAAATGACTATGTATTCCTCACACATGCGCACGGATTTTCGCTGTGCGATATGTCAACGAAAAAATGTTTTTCATTGTGAACACGACACACCGCATCGTGACCGTTTCTTAGGTGCTGATATTCCCGAAACATCTCGAAGTTTCAAAATGGACGATCATATTCATATTCATGAGAATAATACGAGACAACGAGTGGGTTCCCATACAAGTACTCGACACAACCAAGTCTCAACTTATAATACGAATACTTATCAATCATCTCAAACATATCAAACGAACCAAAAATCGAAAGCATGTGTTATTTTATGAAACGTTATTTGTATATAGTTTGATTTTTATGAAAACCGAAACATTTTCTTTATTACTAAACATACTCATCTTGTTTGTTGATTTTACTGGGATAAATTGTTATCAACAAAAGCTGAAGTATTTGTGATCAGTTCGATCTTCTTTTTTCCAAGTCGTGACCTTGATTTTTCAAAATAGCTCAAAGCTGACAAAATCCGTGATTTTTCTCCTGACTTATACGACCAATAAACATCATATTCCACCAACACGTTCTCCAGTATTTGCCTAGCTTAATACAATCAGGAAGTATTACACCTATAGCTTCTATTTCCTGTTGGGACAATTGCGGCCTTGCATTGCAACTCCTGCTGACCTGAACAGCACAGTTCGAACCACTCGAAGATTAGTGACGCAGAATAATCGTCAAGTGTTACTTCGTATACAAATTGAGGTGTCATCATATGACACTATTTGTTTACCTACGATTTCATTGAGATTTCCTACTGCTAGAATAACGGATTTTTTAATGAATAAAATCTAATCGATTAAAACGAATCTGATTCGAAAGAAGTCTACAAACACGTAAATCGTCTTTAGATCAAATTACTACATGTCAGTCTGCCGTTTAATCAATAATCTCTTCTTGACTGCCAACAGAACGCAAGACGAGCTGGTCACTTAGTCTGAAGTTGAACTTACGTTGATTAGAAACGAACGAAGCCATTTATCAATGAAAATACTTCATCAAATTGAGTTAAATCTATCAGTTGGTATACATCATATGATAAATTACTCATCTTATTTCGATCGATGAGACATTGTTATTTTGAAATCTTCATACATCATTGTCTATTATCTCTCACGAGTAAAATATGCTTTTTCTCATACCATCTGAATAATTTCAACAGATACAAATGACAAAAGAGAGAAGAAATTGGCTAATGATATGTATATGTGTACATATGTTCGATATTTAGTGTTATTTATCGAAGAGAATAATGATCATGACAGGCAACAAGGATGAACAATTGTTGAGTTGTTCTAACACCGTTCAAAAGTGGCCGATAGAAAAAGAAAAAGAGATGGTCAGTCAACGTTGGAGTTCTTTCTCGTTCTCATCAAAATAATTAACTATGGCCGTAGACGACGACGGCCTATTTTTATGCACATAAGTATATCGTGTGTTCGCGCTTCTCTTTGTCTTGCATTATTGGATATTGTTGTACAGCGAGGAGAAGGAGAATAACTAGAAGAAAAGAGAATAAAAGAAGAAGAAGAAGAAGAAGAGACAAACATACATATACATATACATGAAAATGAGTGAGCGAACGTATTTATTCGATCATTGCACAAATAGAAGAGGAGAAAAGATTCTCTTTCTCGTCTCATTTGTCCAGAAATGAGTATGATGGAGAAGTTCAGAAGCCCCCATTGACTTTTTTACCTTGATCTTTCAAATCATAATAGAGCACAGATAGATATTACTGGTGATTTACCTATATGTCTCTTATTGTTTTCTTTCTCTCCTACTCGACTCGCCAGGGCTTCCTTCTACTGGACATTACTCAGTTTTCTTCCTTTTCATCAGTATCCCGGTGAGTATACCTAACAATAGCCGATGCCGACTTGATTATAAAAGAAAGTTTGTCGTTCGTCGTTATAGAATCAACTATACAATCTAATGAAAAGCAAAACTATTGAACAATTAGCAGAACACGATCGAAGAATTCCTTTCTTTCTTTCTTGAAGTCATATGCATCTTCTACACACTCATTTGTTTTTTCATATTGTATTCTAGACCAACAATGTGTGCATGGTATGTCCTATTGTTCATTATTCCATATGTTCATTCAGTTCATTTTCATTCAAATGAAATCAATAACAAAAAAACTTCAATATTTGTTATTTATCCACGTTTGCGTTTGTGTAATAATGGTTCGTTTTCATTTGAATTTCGTACGAAAACAAGAAATGGTTTAATCTTTTACACCAATGATAATTACCATTCGGATTCCATTATTGTTTCGGTTTATCAAGGTAAATTACTAGTTGAACAGAAATTTGGTAATAACAAAGCTTATCAACAATTCGATCATCCGATTAATGACGATAAATGGTACAAGATCGTATTTAAACGACGATCTTCATTGATTACCGAAATCGTTCTCTATTCTGTTGCATTACGAAACGTGGAAAATCGTATCATTAAATCGAAAAGCTTGAATTATTTGCCGTTTACATTATCGAACACGAGTTCAATGGTTTATATCGGAGGCTTACCGATGAACATTTACAAAAAACAACGTTATACAAGTGAATTTCTGTTCCAATCATTTCAAGGCTTTGTACGTAATCTGCGTTATGGCCTATGTGGATGCCCTGAACGTATTCAACAGCCACTTTTTTCGTCATTAGCAAATAATTTTCAATCTGAAGTATGTGAACAACAGATCTCATTATGTTCAAGTTCAGCATGCGAATGTTTGAACGTCGATGAAGAACCACGATATCAATGTGATTGTAGCAATAAAACGTGCAGTATTATGACTATAATGAGTAAGTCATTATGTTGTAAAAAGAAAACATATTAACAATGTCTATCTAATCTCGTACTGTGAACAGTAACCTTAAAGGCATAAGCTGTCATCGATCTTATCTCATACTCCTCTTTCTCTCTCTCTCTCTCTTTGTTCATATTGATGAATATTATGCATGATGGCTTGAGAAGTCAGGCGATAATCTTTTCAACATCTTCAATTCTCTTTGCGCAATCTATCTTGTTCCATGTTTCGACCGCTATATGCATACACATAGTCAGAATAAAGCATGCAATCAACCGTATGGAAGGCTGCTATAGGCATATCCTAATGAAATACTGCTTGTTCAGTCAGTTGTATATGTTTACGTTATGTCTACGAGATTAAACAGCAAACGTATACATATCCACGCGTTGGTCATTCAACTGACTTTTTTTTGTTGTGCATTGTTATTGTTGTTGTCGACTAGACACTGGTAGATGTCTATCTTTTCTCTCCGAGAGAGAGAGAACATCGAGTGCATCTTATCCTTCATAGTAATATCTGCTTGGTAATCATGATTATCACAAGTTGTATCAATCTTTGATCCTTTCTAGTCGATGTTAATTGTTTTGATATGCTCTTCTACTCTGTATGTCACTCGAAGAGAACGAACAATTGAACGTACTCGCGTGTACTCCTACATCAAGACTAAGAAAAGATAATGAGAATGATCGCCTGCCAATGTGTGATGAAGCATACATCGATACACACCTATATTGTCAATCTTTGTCCTTTTTGTGCACTCTATGATTAGAGTGTACACAATTTCTTCACAAGCGTCCGATCGAGACGTACAAAAAAAAAATAATGAACACTTTGTGTCTATGTATGTGTATGTGTTTGTATACGTGTGTGAACACTGAACAGATTGACTCTCGAGTGTGTCGTCTTCCTTCACTCAACCAGTAGTAGAGCAACGAAGTTAAACTGTTTTCACTCTCTTTCACTCTCTTCATCTATCTTCAATCTAAAGGTGAACAAAGAAAGAAACACTAGTGCATTCTTTTGAAATCAAACGATAGAGTAAATTGTTTGATGGGTCATACTCTACTGTCAGTATATGATGGATATAGACAAGGAAGCTTTAGAATGATTGGAAGAAATCCTAAAATGAGTGCGCATACGTCTATGCTTGTTCAATTAATCATTTATATCGATGATATTAACCAAGGCAAAATGTGTTTTACGATTGACATGAGCAAACTTCTTGTCTGTCCCTTAATGATCAATTTTGAATCTCTCGAACTTTTGCTGTAGTGTGCTAAGAGAAAAGAATTCTTTGATCATTTGTTGTATCAAGCGAAATAATCCGGATATACTTATGCATTCGGCAAGTCGGAGCTAAAATATTGACATTTTATTGAATTAGACAATGGTCACTTGGAAAAAGTCGATTGCAATACTTCTTGTCTACTTTGTAGTGTCGATGGAATTAGGAAGAGTAAAACTAGCGTGTCGTAATCAGATAGAAATAAGAAGACAAAGAATGCTTGAGGATACATATATTCAATTATTAAGGAAATAATCATCAGTTCTACAAATCCAATTAATTCTACTTAGAATAAAATTCAAAGTGCTGATTTTCGTATTTCTTTAGACAAAAATCTCATTCAATACGAAATCGATTTCACATCCGTGGAATATATTTCCAAGAATGACGCATCCACATTCACGTTCGGAAGTCAACCATACATGTTTAATGTCATGAAAAAAGGTTTCCTACGAAATTTTCATATGAAGTCAACCGATCTCATCCGAAATGAATTATTTAGATGTGGAAGCCAATGGAAATCAGAACGACCACGCCATGTTTGTGCCAATGGATATTCAACAACAAACTTGTATGTGGGACTTGAGCAGATGTTCAATAGGTAATCAATGATCGACCTAATCTCATTTGTTGGTTCTACTTCTACTGTATGATTACTAGATCTATCTTTGACGTTTATTTTTTCCATCAATCATATGAACAAGTCTTCGACTATTTTCAAGCAAAATTTTAAGAATGATGCACTAATACATGTCTATCTGGTCGTATTCAATTCGACATTATCAAGTTTGTATTTTGACCTTTGGCTGCCATTCAATCGTGGACTTCTGCGTACACAATTGAGTGAATTCCCTTATGAAACATCATTATACATTAATCTTGTTTATCGTTCACCATCAACACTTTCTACTTATCTCTTCGGACAACTCATGGATTATACAGTAAATCCGATCTATGATCAATCAAATCGACCATCATCATCGACATTGTCGTTTAATATATTTATACCATTTCAATCGATATCTTGGTCCTACGAGCAGCCGTCATTTGGTAGGTATTCGTCTGATTGAGATCGATTCACTTGAGAATGTACGATTGTTTCTACACTGTTAGAATGTTGCGAATCTAAATCTATAGCTGAGCGCGTAAAACGAACTGTCGAAGATATTGAAATGTGTCAATGTAAGTTTAAAGATCTTGTGTAGTTGAACTAATATCTAGTTGAATAACTTCTCACTCT